CACAGCCAGCTCACCACCCAGCACCAGCACCACAGCCAGCACCAGCACCCGGCACCCTGTCTCAAAAGCGCGCACAGCCAGCTCATTGTTTTTTGAAGTAAGAACCCCATAGCTGTCGCTATCTGGGAAAAAACGTTTACGGTAAATCTTTTGGTGCTTTTCACAAACGTGTCACTATAGTATATATACATGCGTACTCAACTACCTTCTTGACACCATGCTCCTTAATCAATTGACTTGGTACTTTGGCCTGGCGGAGATCTTCCCCGCGGAGCTCAAGACCTTGGTTTCACTGCCACTTCGGCCGCGCGGCTTCCAGCGCCGCCAGCCCAGATGCTTTTGTTTCGGTCGAGCCTCGACTTGGGAGCCCAGGCACTTTGAGAGCCCGCGACTCGCACCATTCGCGGCACCCGGGGTCCCGGGTGCAATGGTGAGGACGGGAGGACGGGATCGAGGTGAGGATGGGTTGAGGTGAGGAATCTTGGATCCTGGGTCTGCAAGCTAAGGCATTCAGAATGAAGCTCATCTTGGCGTCCAACGAAACCAAGGAGCCTTCAAAAGTAAACATCTGGAGCTGTCGTGCATCATGGACTTGCAGGTATTGCCACTGTTGCGCAGCTGAGCAAAGTGGCACGGCACTGACTTGTTGTGTCAATTCTTTCCCGATTCCTGACGAAGAATTATATAGTTGTATGATTTTAGGACAGCCATTCGTCAAAGTCCCTGGAACTTTCTTTAAGCTTTCTCAGACTTCTTCAGCTTGCAAGACATCATATCAGCACCCTCATCGTGGAAATGGCTCAGGTACCCAGGAAGCAGCCTCCAAGCAACACCAACGTGGCTGAGACGAGGCAACCTGCCTCGTAAGCATACCCACAGTGCCTAAGTACTATACATAGCTCGAAACATGTTCTCAGCACCTCAAAAAGGACTGATGACTGATTACTGATCATATACAAAGACTTACTTGCATGTTGATCTTGTACAGTTGGATTCGATACCCATAGCCATACCCTCACAACTGCATCCAAGCGTCGTTTTTGAATTAGCACCGCAGCGCGATGTTGCCGCATAGCTCGTCGAACAAGCACTCCCCGACACACTTTCTGGCCAAAAAAGATGCTGATTGTGCTGCAAGACCCAAAGGAAGATCAAGGTTTGGAACCCTGCAAACCAGCGTTGGACGCTTTCTTCGAACCTGGACATTTGTGATCATCTTGTCCAGCTTCACACGGCGTACATGGGAGGACCTAGCCAGTAAACACTGGCTAACGATGTGAGAAAGTGCTGCTGAGAAGAGACCTTAACTCAAACCAAGGTACCGCCAGTGTGACTGGATCATAGTTGCACAAATCCATGTTACAGTCATCCATTCGGAGTTGTCCTGCCAATTGGGAAAAGAAAAAAAGACAATCTTTGTCAGCCAGTGATCATGAATCGTCATGCTTGCCAATGTATAGACACGCATGATTGCATGCCCACGGGCGGTCATTGGGCTGCGGTTCGAAAAAATAAAACAAAAACACACACGTACGTAAGTGCTGACTTCTCTCTTGTAATGAAGCAAAAATGTGATGCATGGAGATCACGCCAAACAAACAGACCGCAAGTTTTTATGCAATTGCTCCTGCAAGTACTTATGCCAAGACCGCCAAGTGTTCTGGATGGCAGAGGCGGCAGCACTGGCAATAGAGCTGGGTGCATAAGGGCTTGAGAGTGGTGTTCTTCAGACTTCAGACTTGGGTGCATTGGTTCCAACATCCAAGGTCTGTCATCATTTTGCGAGAAGGCCTGGTGTCACGAGTTTTGTGGCTCATACTTACCTCTATGAATTTGGCCAGGTTGATGCTGAGTCGATGCGATTCTGGCCTCAATCAACATCTTGTCTGGATACCGCACTGAGCCCCTGACTTCTGCGTGTCTATTGCGTGGTGCTTTCCAATGATGAACCTTTCCATGCTGATGCTGAATCTAAGCTGACGAAGAAGCAGGAAAAGCAGCTCTCGAATACTATGTGTAGCTTGTTGGTTCGTGTTGAAAGCAACATTATTCAATATGGTTCCAAAACTAAGAGTATCAATCAGTGGTTGCATCTGCTCCACCTTCTTTATGACTGAACATGCAGCAGCAAATATCTTGTCTCAGACATTCATCAAGTGCCATCGTCCGCGGAAATTAAAGCAGTCACCGGCATTTGATGAGACACTACTAGTATAGCCGAAATATGAAGCGGTTGTTCAATTCAATTTGGGTTTTTACTAATCAAGAGTCGACACTACGCAGTGCAAGCGGCTCTGTCGGGATGGTCATCAGCTAGTTTGACTTGCACCACCTGGCCTCACGCGATCTTTCATCACCTTGTCCCGATAGACTGTCGAGTTGAAGATGCCGGTCCTCGGTGGGCCCACTTTTTGTTTAGCCTGCTCTTATTTAAATTAACTAAGCGCCTACTCAATGAAGTAAGGGCAGTACACACGCAGGATAACTCACGCTTCAAGAAAGCTCCGATGTCGCTGTGTCTGTTTTCGCATGATCGTGTCGGAGGAGCGCCTGCGAACCACCTTGGATGTCCGTGTGGATCGCTTCATCGCACGGTTCGGGCGGAAGTCATTGGGTGCTGACCTCAAAATCAAACGAAGGACTAGCCAAGATGCTTCTCACAACAAGAATCAAAAGGGATGTTCACTTCAAGAGGGTGGCGGCAGATTGGGGTTGTGCTCATATTGCGAGACGAAGGCCCTCCTCTCCAACTGTTGATGTCTCTTGGGGGCAAACATCGATGGCTCACCTCCAGCAGGACACTTTCACGAATAGGAACAAAGACTGGAGTTGTTCAAAGAGATGTTTGGGCCCCAGCAGTCCACTTCCGCATCGATGATGTCCATCAAGGCCTTTGGGTGGTCGTTCATGGCCTGCGAACGCAGTGCGCAACCCCACCACAGGGCTGCGATCCTTGGCCGAGCACCCGACCTTGGACAGCACATTTGGGTTGCGCGGGCGACGTGGCTCCTGGAAGCGAAAGAGACCCTGGTCATAGGCCTCCGCGGCGATTCGGCGTTCGAGCAAATGCCAATGATACCTTTAGATATGCATGCATCACAAGCATCACAAGCACAAGCAGCTGGGATATACATACAAATTAACCAAATTCATGTACAAGTTTGCAAAAAACAATGCAGTAAGATAACTGTGCATTTCAAGACTTCTCACTTTCTGGCCTGCGGAAGGATCAAACCAAGGTCTTGCATGGATGCCAGGGCCGCCTTGTTCAGCGGATGACGCCTCGGCCACAGAAGGAGCGGAGCGACTCACAAAGCAGAAGCAGACTCCCTGTCCGAGGAATATAACAAATACATAGGTTGGAGGCCATCGCCAGAAGGTTGGAGGCCACCGCCAGAAGGTTGGAGGTCATGCCTAGTAGGTTGGAGGCCATCGCTAGTAGGTGGGGGGCCATCGGGCAGTCGCCAGAAGGTTGGAGGCCATTGCTAGTAGGCTGGAGCATCCCTAGTAGGTTGAAAGCCATCGCTAGTAGGTTGGAGGCCATTGGTTGGAGGCCATTGTCAGAAGGTTCGAGGCCATCGCTCTTAGGTTGGAGGCCATTCCTAGTAGGTTGGAGGCCATTCCTAGTAGGTTGGAGGCCATTGCTAGTAACAGTGGGTTGGAGGCCATCACTCTTAGGTTGGAGGCCATTGATAGTAGGTTGGAGCATCCCTAGTAGGTTGAAAGCCATCGCTAGTAGGTTGGAGGCCATTGGCTGGAGGCCATTGTCAGAAGGTTGGAGGCCATCGCTCTTAGATTGGAGGCCATTCCTAGTAGGTTGGAGGCCATTGCTAATAACAGTAGGTTGGAGGCCATCGCTCTTAGGTTGGCGGCCATTCCTAGTAGGTTGGAGGCCATCACTCTTAGGTTGGAGGCCATTGCTAGTAGGTTGGAGGTCATCCCTAGCAGGTTGGAGGCCAGTGCTAGTAACAGTAGGTTGGAGGCCATCACTCTTAGGTTGGAGGCCATTGATAGTAGGTTGGAGGTCATCCCTCTAGCAGGTTGGAGGCCATCGCTAGTAGGTGGGAGGCCGCTCCTCAGACCCGCACGCCATTACATCTTCACCGTTTTCCAAGTCCTGATGGTGCCCCGTCCGACCAGTCGGACGCACCCGGGTCGTGGAATCCGGTCCTCCTCGGTCTCATCTGGGAGATCCTCGTCGATGGCTGGACCTGTTGGTCATCGGAAAGATGGTTCTAAAACGATGCGATCCTGAAGACTGCTTCTTGCTCCTAGTAGTAAGGCACTTGTTTCTAATAGCTTTTTGCTACTACTAGTAAGGCACCTGTTACTACTAGTAAGGCACTTGTTTCTACTAGCTTCTTGCTCCT